AAGAAATGGCTGTCCTCCTTAGGTAATTTCGACATTCCGGACGCTCCGGCGTAGTTTATTTCGCCGTCAGAGGTCGCTTTGACGAATTCACCGATTTGCGTGTCAATTTTCTCGTGTCGAAACTATGGCAATATAGGTGTCCTTTCCTACCAAAATTAGTATCCCGGACGCGTTGGCGCAGTCCAATTTGTCGTCGGAGGTCATCCGGAGAAGTTTGCATTTTCACCCGTCCTTTAGGCTCAATTGAAGTCCAATTTCGTGCAATTTTGTGAATTTTGTGCATTTGATGTGTATGTGTGACGAAAAAGTCGTGACGATGTTTTCCTAAGGCTTAGAGTCCTATTAGGAGCATTTCCCTCGAGTTTTCACAAAATAACCCATAACCGCTCGTTCATAAGACGAAGGTATTGTGCCATAAATGTTGTACATCAAAGAAAAATAGGAATTGGTTAGAATTTTTAAAAAGGTGGGTCTCAATTCTAGTTTTCTAAGATGGTCAATAGGAACTCCTAGAGCTAGATCCTAAGACCCTAAGTATCCTAAGACCCTAAGAAAAAAGAAATGACAAAAAAAAAAATGAGATCAACAGTACCACAGTCCACTATGCCGCATGACAGTCTCAAGTCTCTTGCCAGTCTCCTTCTATTGAAAGATCACCTTAGGAATATCAAATATACTAACACATTTTAGGTGGAGTATGCTGACACAAGTGGATATAATGTTCACCGAAAATGAAAGAGTATGCAAAACATTGAACATAGCCATAGACTTGGTACACCTCATTATACTCTTACTGATCACATACTTTGTTGTATTATCAACGGTCTGAATTCTCTTTGGAACTGCTAGATGAGTATATGAAGAGAACTCACTAGCAACACCTGTCACATGTCGAGATGCAATAGATTCTACTATCTATTCTGGTGATTTTGTGGTTGATATTGAGGTAAGAGCATGTGTATCACGAGTACTTTTGTCTTAGTGAGCATAAGTAGTAGTGTTCCTCCTGAATGAGAATAAGGTGCCTCCTCAGTCACATCACCTGCTGCTCTCTGCTTTCTTTTCAAAATCTCTAGGAGCTCGTGATCCTCATCGATAAAGACCACCCTTGTCTCTTCCTCGTTCTTCGCTACAATTAGATTTGTCCGACAACCTCTAGGCTGTCCACGTCCACCTGTCTCTCTCTTCTTGGTTGGCTTTGGACAAGTCTTGCTTAGGTGTCCCACTTCTCCACGCTTTTAGCACCTGTGTTTCTCCCCTTGGGCACCTATCATTTCTGAGCTCTAGGCAGCAAAAGCTGATTGTGTACATGGAATTCCACCCGACTCAGAGTATAGCCTCATGCAACTCTCTTGCATAATCGCTACGATGACCTCATCTAGTGAAGGAATATTGCCTGGGCTAGGAGGGCCGATCTTCTTTGATCAATGGTTGGTTCAAATGTGCTAGAAACTGCATCGTTCTCATTTGTGCAAAGATCTCCCCCTTCTTGCTCTCCGAATCACCATAACTTGTCATAGGTGAATAGTGATCAAAATCTTGCTACAATCGCTCCAGCTGTAGGGAGTACTTTTGAATCAATCTATCACCCTGTATCATTGCCTCTTTGTCACGCTGAATCTAGAACACCGTCATGTGGTTTTCAGTCTCAACATAGGTCCTCTTCAGCTTTGCCTAGATATCATTTACCTTTTGAATGCTATCCACTGATGTGGAAATTGATGGAACCATTGAGTTGAGTAGCCAAGTCTAAATCAATGCATGTGTGGTCCTCCACTCATCCCCCTAACATTGTCATTTTTTTGCTCGACCCCCTTTAGGTATCCTTCTAATCTCTTCCATACTAGAGCAGCCTCAATCCGATGTGACCAACTCAGATACGTGGCCGGTCCATCGAGCTTCAGATCTACAGGAGGGAGATCTAGTTCCACCTACGTCAGAGCACGTGCTGAGGTAGTGGCTCTTGTCGAGACTTTAGCTCTCTGTATGAGCTCGATGAAGACCTTCAGTATTTAAGGATCTATCCTCCCCAAAACTTTCAATCATTAACCTTCTGCACTATCTCCGTCTCCAAATATCCTCAATCACAAAGATAAGTCCAGAGCACACAGAACACACACAACTTCCTTCCTGCAAGTTCATGCGATCAGCTTTGTCATAACCCGCACGAAGCCTCAACCTCTCTGTCCTGCACGCAAAACCACAGTTGCTTCGATTTATAAACAAATCAAGCACGAACAATTATTTGTTCGATCGTGTTCGATCGTGTTCGAATCGTTATTATTCGAAATATAAAATAATTTAAAATAATTTAAAATAATTTAAAATAATTATATATAAAAAATTTATCATATTTCAAAATTAATTATATACTTTAAAAATTTATTATATTTTTAAAAAATTAAATCCTATAAATTATAATCCGATCTTCATGTTCGCCTCTTATTAAATTCTATAATTTCGTATTTATCTTCAGGTTCGTCTCTTAGCTTAAATTTTCTTATATTTCTTTTAGATTTATTTAGTTTCTTTGAAATAAAACATAATTTTTTGGAGTGAAATCTCACCGGAGTGAAATTTCACATATTGCCTCTAAATTTGATTTTTTTATGGGTGAGATATGATATTATAGTTTTATTGTGAGCTGTGCTTTTGCTATTTTGCATTTATGTTGTGATTCATACAGATTTAAACATTAATTTCATATAGGTTTAAGTTTTTGATAAATTTCAAACAATTCGAACAATACAAACAAATTTGTAAGATTTCGAACAATTCAAACAATTCAAACATTTCAAACATATTTCAAACAAATCAAACAAATCAAACAAATCAAACAGAACAAAAACGGTAACTTCACGAACAATTTTAAACACGAGCCTATTTCAAATACACGTAATTTCAAACGAACTAAACACGAACACGAGCTCTGTTCGTTCGTGTTCGGTTTGTTTACACCCCTAACACCCCTACTCATAATGCATATGTTTATTGACTTTAACTTCCAAATTTTAGTTGTTCATGCGTGTCTAATTTGAGTCCTCCTCTCAGGCAAAGGTATTTTTTTCTCTTTTCTTGTGCAGGGAATTTATACAACATTAAAAGTCATCTTTGGAAATTTTTGACATTTTTTTTCATTGGCCTAATCCCTTTTATGAGATCTAGAATTATTGAATAATAAAAAATAATACTCTATTTCTAAATAATTTGTTGTATTTTGGCTGCTTGGGTTTATGTTGGTTGTCTTTGCCTATTTGAAGTACTGTATTAGCTAAGTAATAGGTGCGAAAGCTCTCTCTCAATCAGATGATACTGTAGTTGCATAATCTTATTGTAACGCCTCATTTATTGTATTAAAGCATAAATTTGTAACATTTTTTAGGTAGGCTATTGCTAACGTTCTTATTTTCTCTTAAGGGAGTACTTGCTGATATTCTTGAACCAATAATGGGAAAGGGGCTTATTCCTGCTTGATACTTGGAAGCAGCGAAGGAAAGGTCAGAAAATTCCCCAAGAAGACTTGCTAATACCTTTTTTAATATTTCTATAATGTCCATTATTTGATTTCACACAGTCATGTTTTTCTTTCTTATACTTTCTTTCTTATTTTTCTTCATTCATTTTTTAGCCCTTTCTTATATATATCTTATATTAGGGTTTGAAAGGAGGTATTAGCATGGGTTTATTTAAAACAACCGTCGACGTCCGTTTCTTTCTTGGAGGGCTGTATCCGAGGGTTCGAGTGGGCTCTAACTGTATCTTGTTTCTGAGGTGGCAATTATCTTCCTTATTCTGTCCTCCCCACATCGCGTTCCCGACCGCTCCATCCCTACTGCAGCTGCCTGGAACAGCTGTCTTGACTGTTCTTTCTGCATTTTTATGTCTTCCAACTGTCCCAGCCACTCTTCTGTTTGCTGCCGCCATCCAAGGAGAACAAGAGTTGTTGTCCCCGCCGTTTCCAGCCTTCCCCACCACCTTGCCTTCCCTTCTAATGTGTCCCCGCCCCCAGAATCTGTGCCCACCCCTTTCTAGTCGCTGCAAACTTTCATAATTTACCACCCTCGCTGCCACAACCATTCAAGCCTCCCCTACCACTCTCCGTCGCTACCTACCTGTTATCCAACCCTGCCCTTTTCCATTTCCACCTTCTACCCCTTACCATTCTTTGCCATTACATAGCTGTTGTCCTCCTTGTTCCAGCCGCACAAATCAATCCCCTTGTGCCCCCTGTTCCAGCCCCTGACAAGACTTACTACAACTTACCCACCTTCCAGAAATCTTACTTGTTAAATCCGTCACCTTCCAACACTCCAACATATCTATTCTAGCCCACCTCATTGACCTCCACCACCCTTGGAATGCACTTTAGTTGTGTTTGCTTGTTTTTGTTGTTACATGTCTCTTTTAATGTGTGAGTTGTAATTGCCCAATTATCCTTGCAGTAATAATATTTAATTTTTCTATTGCTTTTTGGGTAAACTCCAGTATCATTTGATATCAGAGCTAGCTTAACCTCAATCCTATCTTAGAGTTTATAGCATATATCAGAGCTAGCTTAACCTTAGTCCTATCTTAGGGTTTATAGCATGCGCCATACCCAAACATATCTTCACCCCTCCATTCACCCTATTCCACATACTCAAACCCCAAATCCTAACCACTCCACCAACGAGACAAGTGTCAGACACCGTTCAGGAGTTTTCTATCGAAGAGATACAACAACAAGTTCACCTAGTGCTACAGCAACTCGATGAAATTGAGGAAAGGAGACCATTAAGACATGTCACCCGTAGCTACAACAGTGACTTGTTAGATCAAATTAATGGTTTGAATCTCTTCTACCATATAGATGTCAGGGTTGAAGAACTTCTACCCTAAATAGTTGATCTAGAATATCTAAAAAGCCAAAATTTTGTTGTGAAGGTGGATTTGTCACATTTTAATAGCCACTTTGATTCGCATTAGTTCATTGAGTGTCTTCAAACCATAGAACTTCCCTTTGAGTACTAGGTTGTCTCACCAGACATAATGGTATAACTAGCTAGCCAACAAGTTAAAGAAGTATGTGTTGTTTTGGTGAAAAAGTTTGAAGCACTTACGTCAGTGTGAGGTAAAATTCAATATCATTGTCTTGTCCAAGATGAAATGGAAGATGTAGCGCCAGTATCTACTAGCTCACTATAAATTTAATATTCACACTCCAGCTTCAAAAGTGGAGAGACCACATCACTGGATGACTGTCACACCTTACAAACATAGTTTAACCTTAGGATTGAGTCGCAAGAGTAAGCCAAAGGGAACATCCAAACCTTGTCGGAGAAGAAACTGATTAAGAGTGGTGAACTGGTGAAGCAATTTGCACTCCCAAATCCATCACAACCAGGAAGAGTTTCAAGTTTCACAGATTTTGGGCATACTAAATCAGATTGGATAGCAAGCAGAACGATCTCTTTCACTGATCAAGGAACAATTGAAGTCAGTGAGCTAGTAGAAGATGAAGATTCAGTGTGGATTCTCAACTTTCAATCGATGAGAAAGAGATGGCAACGAAGCCAACTGAAGTAACAGTATTTGTTCGAGAATGGAGTGAGTACAAGTTAATGTGCATCATGTTGAATATGAAATTATGATGTCTTAAACAATTGTTTCGTAGGAGTTGAAAGAAGCATTAGCAGGACTGACATTGGAAGTTTAAAACCCACGAGTTCGAGGAACCGATACTAGAAGCATGACAACCCCATATAAGAGAAATTCAGACTTTTTAAATACGCAGAGTACTTCTTGAGTTACCTCTACTGAGGGAGATCCATCATGTCCGAGGTGAGAAGCTTTTGAGCTACTTTGGGAATACCATATGGGGTCTTTTGGGTAGTAAAATCAACTAAAAAATGTACCCACCAAAGATGATCAGACATGATAAATGAACTACAATGTGGGGAACCACCTTAGAATTTATGGAGAAAGAACATCCTACAGTGAGATCTATGTCCATTTAGAGAAGAACAAGAGAATTCTCCTGAGTGGTTATACTTTAGTTTGATCTAGTCTGCCATAGTTTTTGTCACAGTTTATTTCTCATTACATACTTGTTTTTAGATACACTTAGAATGAGTATGAGGGGTGAAATATGCTAATTACAAATTTAATGACTTGGGGGTTGGTTCGTGAGAATACCCATCCATTTACTGTTCTAGTTATGATCGTGCCAAAACCAATTGAATACATATTGTATGCTTTTTGTCGATGATATCCTTCTTGTGGATAAGACTAGAGGAGTTCAAGAAATACTTAAATTATGGAGGTCTACATGGTAGTCTAAAAGCTTTCATTTGAGTAAATCTAAAACTGAATACATGGAATGTAATTTTAGTAGTAGTGATTCTAGTGGAAGAGTTGTAACTTTGGGTAATCAAATTATTAAAAAGTGTTAAATATTTTAGATATCTCGGGTCCATTATTCAAAGTGATAGTGATATAGATAGGGATGTTATTAGTATAATCCAGGTTAGTTGATTGAAGTGGAAGAATGCATCAGGTCTATTGTGTGATAGAAAGTGTCGCTTAGACTTAAAAGGAAATTTTATAAGATGGTGGTGAGACCTTCAATGCTTTATGACGTAGAATGTTGGCTTTTAAAAAAAAAGCATAAAACAAAGTTAAGTTTTGCTGAGACGAGAATGTTTAAGTAGATGAGTGGCTTGACACTAGACAAAATGCCAAACGAATCTATCTGTGGAAGGTTGGTGTAGCTCCAACTGCAGACAATATTAAAGAGAATCGTCTTAGATGGTTTGGTCACATTAAACGTCGACCATTTGATTATTCAGATATGAGAGTATATGTTTTAGATTTAACTTATGTTAAGAAATGTATAGGTAGACCTAAAAAGGCTTGGAGATTATGTATAAAAAATGATTTTAGTTTATCAGAATTAAATGAACATATGACACTCAATAGGACACAATGGAGAAAAATGATTTATTTAGTCGACCCCACTTTATGGTATAATGGTTTATTGTTGTTGTTGTATGAGTTGTATATTCAATATATTTATATATATTAGCAAATATATAATACATGCAATAACAATAATTTTTAGCTACTTGAAAATAAAAAAAGAACCAAATATATAAATGATATGAAAACAAAATGATGTAAGAATACTTAATGATTAATATTATATTTTTGAGATTGAGTGATGACTTGAGACTAAGAGGTGAAGGCTGTTTGAAGTGGGGAACGTGTGAAGACGAGGCTTTGAGAGTCATTCTTGAGAAGAAGTTTGCGAGTATGATTCTATTAGAACAAACAAAAAATACTAGTGAAATTTATATAAAAACTAGCTGGGGAGTGATTGTGAAGTGAAGTATCATTAAGAAGTTCTTAAGTAAAAGAAAATGGACAACCAATGAAGAATGACTTAATAACTATGAGATTTAATGAGGATAAGCAAAGGATTATTTGTTGTTTTTATTTATACAATATGAGAAATAGGCAAACGCAGCCAAAGTTGAAATATGAAAAAGGGTTTTGTTTTAAGAGTCTAGTGTACAACACTATGATGCGTCAAGTAGTCTAGCACACAAACTTAGTTGCGAGCTTGTGCTTCATAGGCAAGCCATGCACAATGGCTGCATTACTTCATTTTGTTTCTTGACCTTTTTTTTAAGCACACTTATAATTATATTGGCCCAAAGTATTCTTGTTTGATTGTATTTGTGTTAATTAAAAACCATGGTCCTAAGCATATGGATATCAAAAAAGCTTGTTCACGAAAAATTCGTGTTCGGCTCACTAAGTAGCTCGCGTTCAATCTCACTAAGTAGCTCACGTTCAATTCGTTTGCTAAGCAAGAGAGCCGACCATGAACAACCTTGTTGAGCTTGATTTATAAACGAGCCAAATAGGAATAGATCTTTACTTGACCATTTTCAGTTTGCTTTGGCTCGAATTATACAAGTAATTAAATAAATAATATTTATTATAGTATTTTTATTTTAATTTTTTTATGTTGTATTAACAAGGTTTAAAATAACATAATTGGAGATGTGTGTTTTTGGTTCATGAGGTGATACATAAGCCTCGAGGTGTTTTGCGGCAAAGGCCTCAAATTTAAAAATTGATAAATATCATATACACTATAACATGTGAAGTAAAAATAACATACGGGAAAAAGCGTCAAGTAGTCCTTTGTCTCTTTGTAATGGCCCATTTTAGTCCCAAAGTCTAAATTCTCAAATTAGTCCCCAAACTCCTTTAATTGGGCTGAAATAACTATCCCTTGGGACTGTTTATGACTACATTAAAAGTGTGTGGGGACTAAATTTACACTTTTATGGACTGAAACAACCCGATGCAAATAGTTAGGAAACTATTTTGCCACTTTTCTCAATAACATACTAACATTTTAACTTATTAACATATTAAAAAGTTAGAACAATATAATTAAGTAAAAAAATAATAAAATGCGTAAATCTAGAAGTAACATGTTAATATTCTATCATCAAATTATAAAATAAGATGGTTATACAGTACTAAACTTTTAAAGTAAGCTAAGATGTCAAAATAAAGTATTGAAACATAAAAAACAAACAATCAAAATAAGTTTAATATAGGTTTTTCCTCCCACTCATACTTCACTCATTTAAACAAGAAAATAATAAGTTATCTGCATTTGAAAATTTTAATTTAAACATCCATATTATTTTCATCACCGATTTAATTTTCATTAGAATCATCAACATAATGAATTGTTTATCTCGCATCTTATCCATAATCGCATCTATTTTCTGCGATTCCTTGTTATCTTTAATTTCATTTATTTTCTATTTTCTTAATTAATAATTATAGAAAATACTAATTAAAATAATAATTCTGTTGATAGTTACAACTTCAACTACATAATTTTTATGGATACCTTCTATTCTATTTCTTGCTATTTAGTGTGTGAGGTGTGAGGGTTAATGGATGAGATATATTAATGTTACTTTAAAGTTACGGATAGCCTAATTATTTTGAAGTGAGGCACGCAGCAATGCGCCTCAGCTTGGGTGAGGCGAACGACACACTGAGGAAATGAGGTGCAAGTCCCCAATTTTTTGTAAACAAGGCGTGGCTCATATTGCCCATTTTAAACAAGGGTATTTATAAAATTTTTAAAATTTATTACTTGTTAAATTATTTGCATTAATTTTGAGCCGAACATGAGCTGAAAACAAGCTAACGAATTCAAATTGAGCATGAGAGAATGCAGGTTCAAGGATAACTTTGATTGCTGTGTTTGGCAAGTGCCACCCCCTCTCCATCGTTCCTCCTTTCTTCACAAAGATACTTTAATGTTTTATATTCATTAATCTTCTGCTAATTATTACTGCAACAAGCATTTAGTTTCTTTGTTTGTTCCATTTGCATAAAAATTCAAGTGGACTTGCTTCATCACTGCACCTGCTAAAATCTAGTGCAACTTTTTACTGATGCATCATAGTATCTGTAAGGTAGCTCTTGCATATCAATATTATTTCACTTCCATTAATTACTTTCAGTAGCCCATAGCATATGAGTTTTCTTGATCTTTTTGTGTTTTTTACACCCTTTAGCGTTTTCAGTTGCAGTCATTTTATTGTTATTCTTATGTGATAACTGAATTGCAGTAATTGCACCGGGGTTTCATTCTGCATTTCTGGAGGCTATGATTAATGTTTTTACTAACTGTTCAGAGAGAACGGTGGCTAAGTTTGAGAAGCTCATTGAAGGAGAAAGTAATCCAGGACATACAATTGAATTAGACCTTGAAGCTGAATTTTCAAGTCTGGCGCTTGATGTGATTGGTTTGGCTATATTCAACTATGATTTTGGTTCTGTCACTGAAGAATCTCCAGTAATTAAGGTTTGAAATTCAATCTGTCATAGTTACTATTTTATTTGTTTCACCTTTCGATTCTGGAATAAAGATTTATTTCTAGTCTTATATTCTTATCCCGTGAAGTGTTAATGCTATTTAGTTTGACGCTATTTTTGCAAATCGGCCTATACAAGCTTGCCAATTACTATTACATAGAAATAAGAACAAGGAAAAAAGTGACCAAAGTATTTATCCAAGCCCATGCTGGTACACGGAGATTGCTTTCCTTATTCTGTAGCGATTACTTGTAACATGCTATAAATATTAAAATCTGACTAGCATTCAAGTATAAACACAAAATAAAATATTCACTGGAATTTGTAATCTATGATGCTTGGATGTGCTCGAATGATCCTACTTTTGCTTTTTTGGAACGTGAAAAATTTATGCAAGGTAATGTGGATTTTTTGAAAGCTGTGAAGTTTGGCTGATCATTGAATTGGAAGCAGAGGTTCAAGTTTCACTCATTCAACTAGAGTTGAAAGAAGGGTCAAATTGGATAATATTATAAATCTTATAATTTTTTATTATTATCTAAATAATGGAATAATGTAAATATATCAAAAAAATAAATAGAACTCATACATAAGTAATATATTCATTAATTATAAATTTAAAATTATATGAGAAAAATAAAGCTTGTTATAATATGATTTTATGTGTATATAAATCTAGATATATGCATATTAAATTTGTATCAAATTTAAAAATGATAATATAGATGTATAAATATAAATATAATTTATAATCAAAGTATAATTAGTAATAATTAATAAAAATATAAATTTTATACAACAACAACAACAACAAAGCCTTAATCCCACTACGTTATGTCGGCTACATGAATCCTTTTTCTCCATTGCGACCTATTTAGTGTCATATTTTCATTTAGTTCTAGTAAATTAAGATCATTTTTTATACAGAAAGCCCAAGTCTTCCTAGGTCGACCTCTGCCTTTCTTAACACAAGTCGAATCTAAAACATCTACTCTCCTAATCAGATCATCAGATAGTCGACGTTTAATGTGACCAAACCATCTAAGACGACTTTCTCTACTTTTGTCCGTCACAGGAGCTACACCAACCCTATCACAGATATATTCATTTCGCATTTTGTCTGTAAGTGTAAAACCACTCATCCACCTGATCATTCTCATCTCGACAACACTTAACTTATTATTATGCTTTTCTTTTAAAGGCCAACATTCAGCGCCATAGAGCAGTGCAGGTCTCACCACCGTCTTATAAAATTTTCCTTTTAGACTAAGCGGTACTCTTCTATCACACAAATGACCCGAAGCCTATTTAACATTTTCAAAGCTCAAATCCCACAACCTAGTTTCTTGTTCTTGAAGCCTAACTCAAATTTCAGTATATAATTTTTTTTTTGTCCCACATCTTAAGAGAGAGCCAATGTTGCATTATTTATATGGAAAAATAAGCTATGTAAGATGTCCGAGACTTGGAATTAATCAACTTGGAAACGGATAATCAGATGATGGAATTAAATTTTGAATTATTATATTTCTCACTAACAATTTAATATTAACATATTAATTGAAAAAAAAAAACTACTAAAAGAAGAAATTTAATTAACAATTAAAAATTTACCTTTCCGGTTGTTGAACTCGTCTTTTGTACCCATTGGTGCTATTCAACTTATCCAGAAGCTTTAAACTTAAAAGTTATTTAAACAACATAATGAGTTATCTAAAGATAACTCAGTAGAGCTATCACACTTTTAAACTATAAAAACTCAAGGAAAAGAAGACACTATATATGATGATCTTTCATATTTCATTATATAAGATCTTATAATAATTTATTGTTTGTGTTGAAGACATTTATTCAATGAAAATAGCGTAAACTTCGAAATGCATCAAATTTAGCTTTACTCTTCAAGATTTAATATTTAACTTTCCTTTTATTTCATGTTATTAACATTCACATTTATTTTATGAACACTGTCAAAACATAATCTATCACATCTCTGGTCGATATTATTTTGTCGACATAGCGATTCATGATCTAATTTACATTATTATCTTTGGTGGAAATGTGCCTAGTTGTCCCTGACCGATGTTCTCTCATCAGGATAATAGTTAACAAAACACTAATGTACCCTATCTATGCCATAAAAAGATGAATTCCTTTTAACATATACATAAAAACATTCCTATATTTATATATATTACTTTATTATTTTTATCTCACATTTTTTTCTTATAAAACATTTTACTTGATGCGGAAGCTTTCTCACATGAGACCCGCTCCACTATTCTACTATAATGTCGCTATAGTCTTGCAATCATTGCTACTGTCCTGCCTGAAGTAGTCTTGTAGAGAGCCATCTGCGTTCTCTGCTACATGGCCGTTGGATTTTTCAACTCGAACAAGTTCAAGTGGGCCGGTCGACACTTCCTTTACGTTGACTTCTATCCTATTTGGAGCGGAGCTCATTCATATTTTATTTAGGGCTTTATATTTGTTATTTCTTCATGTTTAGGGAGTTTTGCATATATTCCTGTTCAGGACAGCCATCGGCTTCTAGCATTTCCTTTCTAGGGCTTTATCCAAAGGCAAGAAGGTGCTCCAATTGTAACACTTTCGAGGTGGAGACCATCTTCCGAGGATCGAATAGTGCTCCAGGTATAGTTTGATCCAGCGGGGGATGTTTATCATCGCTTCCCCCTCTCCCACAAGCTTTCTTTTACCTCTGCCATCATTGTATTTGCTAGTTTCACTGAAAAACAACCTCTTTGTTGTTTTTCCCAGAGCTCACAGTCACCTGTTACCTATGTTCTCCTCCCCTTAGCTTCCCAGCCACCCCAGCCTGCTGTCACCCTTTCCATACTTCCTCATCGTCGGACAATCTTGAACCCCTATTCCTCTTGCTATCGCCACCTTCCCACCTCCCTTCCTGCTTATTTGCTGTTGACCAGCCATAAGTCAGTCTTCTCTTAGCTGTCTCTCCACCACCCAACCATCTATACCTCGTAATTTCCACCTCCTCGAACAGCAACCCACCACTTTTGAACCTCACCCTATGATGTGTTAAATGTGATTAAAAGTGCTAAATTTTCTTGTAATTTCTCTATTAATTTTTTCTTTTTATGCTTTTTCAGGTATTTTTGTGCAATTGCATGATACATGTGATTAAGTAACTCTTAATGATGCTTTAGCATATATTAGAGCAAAATAGAAGGAAGCTATTTCAGACAAGAGTCCAATGGAGCCATTAAGTCAGAATTGCCCATTTTGCCTTGAGTGGCGCTTACGCACCATCTTATGGGCGGCTAGACAACACCCATGTGCTAGTCAAGCCGAGCACCTGTCACTGCCCCAGGTATGGGGCACCACTTCTTGTGGTGCTAAGTTGCCACCAACATTGCTTCATTACAGAGTGAACAAGACTCCGACGCTCCCAGAAAAAATTCCAACATCGACGAACCGATATAGGGATGTATGCGTGGCATTTTTTGTGATTGTTGCATTTTGCATTACCATATCAAAAAGTTACAAAAAGTAGTTAAAAAAACAAAAAAATTTGCCTCTTGGACAATAAAAATTTGTACTTTCCTATTGTAAGACCAAAAAAAGAGGGTCGTTGCCATTTACATGATGTAAAGTAAAACTACCATCTAACGCCATTTTTGCACAAATATAGGAAGCCACATTATTTTCTCTATGGGTAGGCTTGAACAAAATTGCTTGAAATGAAGCAAGAAAGCAAAATTTGGATTAGCTCGGGGAGTTACTAAAGGCAAATTCGTCTTAAGTAAGGGGCACCACTGGAACATTTTGAGAATCACAATGAGAATCAAAATTCGCTGATTTTCCTCTGTGTGTGAGTGAGGGCGATTTTGTAAGGGAGAGTAAGAGAGTTTGTGAGGGCTTTACGAGTAATTGTTCAAAGGAGACGAGAGACTTAGGGTGTTTGGGCCGGTGGTGTGATCCACACTGCGGTTTTTTCAGCTTGGATGAATTATGTTTTGCTTGAGTTTTTAAAAAACTTGAACTGAAAGCTGTATTTTGTCATCAGACTTGACTACATGTGGTGGCTGCGAGAAAGCTGTAGTCTGATATTTTAAAACTAATTTAGTTGTAATAGTTATTGCAGCTTTTAGAACAGTAGTTTCACAACTGCTTTTTCAAAGCCAAACTAAATTCATTTGTGTATTTACTTTTCACGTTTAAAACTAGGATTTTCGTCTTTGCAAAAATTAATTTAAAGACTTTCAAAATTGCCAACAAACAAACCTTCAGTCTAGGTCTCCAAATTAGTAGGCTAGAAAAAAATTCTCAATTTGGAAATTTTTTCATTCCTCATGGGATCGATACATGAACTCTATCTCTTGTACTACTTAGATGACACGTAATCTCACGTGATTCGCCGGTGCTTCATAGCGTTTGATCCGTATCACCCTAGTGGGACATTTGTGTTTGTTTTTTTTTTCCTATTATAACTGTCTTTGATTTGTAACCCTATTTAATTTTGAGTAATAATTTTTATTTTTCTTGTTGTGGTTTGGTTTAACTCCGATATCATTTGGTAGCAGAGCCATCTTAACGCTTGTTCCACTCTATATTTTTCTAGCTTCCAACCATACCGAACCCCATCTCCACACAAAAATCCTTCTCTTTGCCGATTTTTCAATCCGACTAACCAAAAATTTTTATTCCCACTCTACATCATCCTTATACACTCTCTTCCACCTACCCAAATCCAAACCGTAATCATGTCACTGAGGAGACAAAGTTGAATGCTGATTAGGAGTTTACCATAGAATAGATACAATGATAACTCCGCAGAGTGCTACAATGGCTCGATGAAACTGTAGAAAGGAGAACATTTGGATGGTTCATTCGTGGCCACAATGTTGACTGCTAGATCGAAGTAATGGAGTGAATCTCTGCCACCAAGTGGAATTCTAGGGATGAAGAACATTTATCCCAAAGTTTTGATCTGTAATATCTGAGAGCTAG